CGGAAAATACAAATACATGTATATATGCAATGTGATCTTATATATGTATACATTACATGTATAATGTAGATATGCACGTTATGTATGTGTATATATATACACACATTATATGCATGCATATGTATATATACATGTACATACATACACAAGATTGTACAGCTTTGCAGCTTTGTTGTGCATGCACATATGTGTGCATGTGTGCATGGGTGTGTGCATGTGTGTGCATGTATTCTATATAGGTGCACGGACGTATGGATGCATGTGTCTGTGAGTGTGTGCATGTATGTATGTACGTATGTGTGCTTATGTGTGAATTCGCGTTTTATATATACATTCAGACATACACATATCGAAGGATTATATAGGGGCTCTATAGGGTTTCTATAAATATAGGGTTTGTGATGTACGTGTATACATATATATATATATAGAGATCATAGAGTCGAGGATTGGGGTGTATATAGGAACTGGTAGATGTTAGTTTGGGTAGGTAACAATGCCAACGGCAACTAATTTGTATTTACAGTTGTATATTATATAAGGCATAGAATCGTGTAGGTGCGTTGCATCGGCCGATACGTAGTGAGGTAGTGAGGTTGATCGGTGGCGTATTTGAATGGTTGGGTCGGGTTGATTGTTCTTCACAAAATTAAATAACAACATCAAAATAGATGCGTATTACTGGGTTTGGGGCTTCTACGTTTACACATATGCAACGACCCGGCGCTCAGATCCCTCTGGTTTGCCTCGGGGAAGCACTCAGGCTGCACAATGCCGACGACGAGATGCGGTTTCCAGCCTCGGCAAGCTGGGAAGGCTCGGGTGATGGGTTGCCGAATCAGCAGTCTGGTGTCTGCAGGATAAACAGTAGCATTGGCTACTTTATTTGATGAGAAGTCTGTTACCAAAGTCTTTCTCTCGATACAAGAGCCATGACAGTGGACTAAGTATTGAGGACAAAACTGCTGTACATTTATAGTCCCATGCAAACCCAGTATCACCCGAAACACACGGTCATGTGCCAGAGAGCCTGTGTGGGCCTTTGTTAGAGTCTGAGCTCAACTAGTGTCGGGACCTGTACTGCAACCTTTGTTCAGTCTACAGCTTAGATTGAGAGTTTGGGGTGGGACTCATGAGGATTCGGTGACATCTAACTAATTGACCTCAGCAGCCCAATGTTTCTCAGCTTGAGCGACATCACAGATCCCCGGTCGCTGGCAAACGGCTTTTGCCGTGAGGGACATATCCTAACCCTCTGGCAAACCATCGTGATTGGAATCACTTCTCAAAATCACATTGTGGCAGAAGATGCCAGGCAGGCCCGAGCGAGATTACAATTAGCAGGGATCAGCTATCCAGCTGGGGCTGCAAAGGCTATATATGGTAACCATATATATATATATATAGGTTATTGGGTGTATACGTACAAAGGCTCGTCAGGGGCTGCCAGCCAGAACATATCTTTTGCAGTCCTCGATCTGCCACAGCCCTAGAAAGAATTACAGAGTCATCGACTGACTACTTGTGCTTGGCATCAGTCGGCTGCTGATTCAGCACGAATGCGTACTTCATACACTGCTTCAGCATCTCGGCATATGACAGGGCCGCCATGGATCCGGGGTCATGCCGCAGCTCCTCAATGTCGCCGCCCAAGAAGTCCACCTGAGTTGGTTTGAGATGGTTTAAATCTTCATGCATGTATACAGCATGTGTACATCTACTTGAGATGGCTTACACATAGGGTATTATGTGGGGTGCATGGTGGGTGCTGATGCACGGTGCTTGCACGATTGTTGTCTGACCATGTGCGTATAAATGTAAATATACCATTGTACAAGTTTACACTTAGCTTTTATACATAATTTTAAAATATTTCACACCCTGAACGATTCACCTTCATGCTAGCTTCTATATACCTGCATACATATAGACATCATGCCATGCCGAATAGTCAATATATATACATAGTAGCCATCAGCAGACACTCAGCCCCTGACATAGCGCCGGGCACACTCGAGAGGGAGGGTGAGGTCTTTGTAGATACCGGAGTTGAAGGAAGTGATGTACACAAAGGAACCATTGGCAGAACGTCTCAAGATACCGACCGAAGCCCTGGGCGGCCAGTACACACTGAACTGCCAATACTCCATCTCTGGAACACACTCAGATCTCTTCTCCTTGCAGGGGGCATCATTCTTGGAAGCCTCCAGGAGCACCTGGACCAAGTGTGCCTTCTGCTCACACGAGTCAAGCTCCTCCCGAATCACTGTTGCATCCAGCTCCTTCCTTCCGCTTTTGCGTGCCTCTGGCTTTGCCTTGGGGCCACCCTTGGGGCCGGTCTTCGTTCTTGGGCTTGTCTTGGGGCTGGCGCTCTTCTTCGTCTTGGGCTTCGGGCTTGTCTTGGGGCTCGGAGTTGGCTTGGGGCTTGCCTTGGGCTGCTGCGAAACCTTAGAGCTACTGTGCTTCGACTTCGCTTCGCGTGCGTCCTCTTGCTCAGGATTCTCCACACCAGGGCCCTCGGGCTCTGGATCCAAAGCTGCAGCCTTTCTCTTACCTTTCCCCGTGCCCCTGCCCCGGCCCCGGCCCTTCCCACCACTCATCGCTGGCTTCACCGTCGAGCCTGCTTTGGCTGCTGGCTTCTTCAGAACACGATGAGGCTCATCAGACTCATCATCTGAGCCAGCCCCATCATCGTCGCTCGGGGCCTCGATTTCTGGCTTCTCCTCAGGAATCGGCTTGGCCTTGGCTTTCGATTTGGCCTGCCGCGTTCGCTTCTTGGGAGGCTCATCCACGGAGGCATTCGGTGCCTCGAGATCCTTCTCAGCGGATTCAGGAACCTTCTTCTTGCCAACAGCAAATTGCTGCCGACGAGTCAGCACCGGCACCTGCAAGGTTTCTGCTGCACTGCTAGCTACCAGCTACCAGCTGTAGCAGTGCCATACAATGATACAACTACATGGACTGATAACGGGTACACAGAACACAGCATTGTAATGCAAGCACCTTAGCTCGAGCAGGCACAATGAGCTCCTTCGGCTCCTCATGCTCCTCTGATGCATGGCGAGGTTCCGGCTCTCGCTGAGCAGCAACCTCAAAGTCCTGTGCAAGGCAGTGCGGGATCACGGCCGGAGCAATCATGCTCCTGTCGCAAGGCTTTAGCTTCCCCTCTTCACTGTCATAACGAACAGAAGCGGCATCAGATCCGGGAGACTTCGGATTCGGCTTGGGGCTTGCGTCTGGGAGCTTGGGATTCGGCTTGGGGCTTGTGGGTGGGAGCTCGGGAAATGGGCGGATGGTGAGATCGGGATCCAGATCTTGGCGGGAGAGGCTTTTCACCAGCTTGACAGGGCGTCTTGGCTCTCGGGGTGGCGTGGCCTCAGGGGTGGTGGGGCTCGGAATGGATGGTGCTGGGGCCCCGCTCGGGGACTCCTCTACATGAAGCACCACCGCTTCAAGAGATGCTTGGGTAGCCATGGCCTCACTTACACACATGACTTCATGAAATCATAAAAAGAACAGCATAATATATATATATATATTCTAAAATTTGAGCAGCATTTTCTGATGTAGTGCAGATTGAAGACCCCAGCAATCTCATCCAAATCCGGGCCATCCACAAGCTGGGTTTCCACTGCCGAGGTGTCGGCACTGGGAGGGCGATCCCTCGAGGAGGCAGCAGTTGCACTGCCTGCAAGGCGGCCCGCTCTAGATGTCGATATATTGGGATAACATGTGTCATGCTGTCCACTATAAACCATGTGTGTATATATATA